TATATATATATATATATATATAATTGCACAGGTTTATTTGGAGTCTGGTCTTAGCCTCGTCACTACCTCGCCGGGGTTAGGCCAGGCACTTACCAGCACATGGGATCGGTTGTGTTGATGCTACACTCTGCACTTATGTGCAGATACCGGAGAAACACTGGGTCACCAGCAGTAGCTTGGGAGCGAGCCTTCAGTCCATCGAGATTTTGAGGTAGTCCTGCAGGCGTTTGCAGGCCCCGCGTCTCTTCTATCTGTTATTTGTTCTGTTATCATTGTATCCGAGACAGACAGTGTTCCTTCTTTCAAACGTTTGTATATAGTAATCATAGATAGTCCGTGAATGTTGTGACACCAGTTTCAAGGTAGAGACATATGTTGATTTCTGAATTATTTTGGTTTATTTTGTTTAAGTTTTCCGCTCAATCTCATATTCCGCCATTATTTAAATGTTTATCACCTGTTAAAGCAGGTTGTTAAAAGGATTAAAACAAAGAAGTAAAGAATTTTCTAAATTTCGTGGCTTGCCTAGCTTCTACGAGTAGGCGCCATCACGATTCCCGAGGGTGGAAAATCCAGGTCGTGACAACTAATGTCCAAATTAATAATCTTACGATCAAGAACAATATTTAGATTAAATTATAAGAAACTTTACTCTCATTATCATGATCTCCATCACAATGTCAAGTCTCAAAATTTAATCAAGGACCTTATCAAGTTAATCAAACAATTAATTATAACTATGATAAAAGAATATCAGATGCCATATATTTTTATATCAAATAATATTCACAAAAATATGTTCAAATCATCAAATATAAAATTAGAAATATTCACAAAAATATGTTCAAATCATCAAATATAAAATTGGATCTAGGGCATATCTACTATATCCGTAACACCCAAACTAGAAAGTAAAGCTAATATATTAAACAGGCACGACATCCTTTAATACAGGTTATTATCCCAACGCCCATGTCCTGTATTGTCAAACTCTTCGGCATTATTTCTATCGACCTTAACAGCTTCTTTGGATGGTAGTTACCTGTTATATTGTTACTTTAAATATAATATTTGTTGTAATTGTTATCTAAATTTTGTTATATCGTATCATTAGATCCGTTGTTAATGACGAAATATGTCACTTCATGTAATGACCAATTTGGTGTGATTGCATCGTTACATTGTCTTTTTCTCTATCTCACCATTTATTATTATTAAATAGTTTTATTTTATCATTTACCTTACCTTTTTATATAATAACTTTATCCCATATCATAATTTTTCTTTATAATATTGCAAGTTTAATCTTCATATTGCCGGTGCGTGATATCATGAAACGACGTCAAACGACACAATCCATCCAAACATTGCATTCATCAAACAATAGAATACAATACGATACATTGTGAAACGATACTCTTCTTCTTAAATTGTGACATCCTAGTCAACTTGCATACCAAACATTCCACCTACACAACAAGTAGCTCTACCCATCAAGATTTGAATAGATTTGAACCTCTTATCCTACTTCGAAAAGCAAAAAATAAAACAAAACACCACGCATTTATCGCTCTAATGCTTATACACGTTGCACAATACCTGAAAGTTCTTCAGCATTTCAAGTAGTACCTAATTTAACTGAAGAAACCAGTCAACCAGATACATAAACTATAAAGTAAGAAAATAAAATTTTACTAATACATGGCTGTCAAGTTTATATCAGGGAGGGAATACCCAGACGCCCAGCATTATACTGTAAATGGAACTACGCCTCTTCACAAGGGTGATTAGAGTGCATAAAAACCCTTGCTATATCTACCCCTGCGTGGGTCATTCCTCAAGCTGCTTCTCCCTTTCTCCTCTCACGTTTCATCATGGACTCAATCGAACAGCTAAAACTTACAAGAGATGAAATCTTACACCAATGACAAATTACCAAGAGGCATTCTTTTACTCTTAATTTTCTAACCACAATTCAAAGTTCCTCCACCAATACCAGCGGACATATCGCTTCATCACACTCGCAAGGTTTTAGCGCCATAAGCACATGAAACAATAATGAAGTGTGGGTTTGAGCCTAAAGAAAACCAGAGCTAAGGTAAATTACACAAATCATTAATTAAAATGCTTCTACTTAAAGTGAAGTAGAGCGTCCACCAGCCAAAATTGAAAATAGATACATATGGAAACTTTTACTGGAAAAATCTGGTGACTGGAGTAATGCTCTTCTGCTAAACATACTCCTTCAAAGACCAGGAGAATCTCTACTAGAAGCAGAGCAAAAATAATACTCCAATTTACTAATTTGGACCCTGTGCTTTACCCTGGCAACTTGTTTCTGAGGACTCTTTGGCACTATGAACATGGAAGATGAAAACTCCAAGTCTTTTGCATCTCTCATACATAAGTAAACATACCTCTGGCGAAAATATAGATAAAGAGAAGAATTCAAGTGCAATGCGCTTCAGACAAAACTGCAACATGTCGTCCCATGATGAATGCTCCGTGAACCAAGAATTTGCCTAGCCTCTGATATTTTGCTTGCTTATTGATATTGTGTATTGCTTCATGGGCGGCACTGATTCTTGAGGCATCTGCCATTAACCAAACACGTTTTAGATTGTAAATTAAACAAGGCAATCAATAAAGAGGCAAAGCTTCGAGCATATTTAATCATCGGGGTAATTGAGTCATCAAGCAAAAATACAATCTACTTAATGGTACTGTAATTCGAAGGTCCAAAAACTTGTTCCTGCAGCTGTGCACCATTAGATGGCAGATGATTTCCATTTGCACTTGCTTTCACTGCAGGAACACCTAGCTGGGGTTGTCAACAAATAGTACCCTACTGGTTTTGCTCAAGTATGAATTAGTAAAGCCCAATAAATTTTTTCATTAAAAAAAAAAACCATTTTTTTTTCCTTTCCTTCTTTTTGGGTATAAAATGCTAATGTAAACTATTGTAAAATTAAGAATCAATTCAACAAATCGGACATATTGTCCATGAAAACTTACTTGCAAGTCCTGATGACATGCCCAAGCAAAGGCCCTTACCACTATTCCAGAACCCATAACAATCACATCTGCAAGAATTCTCACACCCTGCAATTAAGAAGACAGAACAGATGTCAAGCAACCAACAGACTTATGTGAAACATGAGTGTTCTCCCAGATAAACTTAGTTCCGCATAGCAAAGAAACTACATAAGAAAAGTCTAACTGATACCAAAAATTGAAAGTAATATTCCTCCTAAACAATAACACAACTTCTGTTCCAATAGTATAATGAACCTAATAAGTTGTTCATTTTTTCCCCTTTTTGGTTGGTAGTTCTTCTACTTATTTTTCCTCCTTTTTTTGGCAATAGAGGCTCAGTTCAAAACAGGACTCTATCCTCCCAAGAACCTCTGCGAAATGAGTATCAGTAAGCGCATTATTCTTTTTTAACCATCCAAATAGCAGTATTGCCAAACCAAGATATCATATGGTAGCATTTAACTACATTAAGATTACCAAGATCGGTGCCTAGGGGAAGCAAATACAAAAGAATAGGTTGCAAGGCTATGGAAGTCAAAACTGTTTGAAGCCAGCAGGATACCGAACTAGTTAAATATATTCTTTAAATCTCTCTAAAAATAAAATAACAAACTCAGGCGAGAGCAATTCAAATGAGGCTTTTTCAGTATTGCAAAATCATTCAGAGGTTTTCATACATTACTCAACCAGCTACCATGGCACACTCATCATTTTTGTGACAGTTTTTAACAATTTTCTGCTTATTAATTGTTGTAGACCTAAAAATTAATAAAAAAGAGTGTCCTTTCTCTAACAAGTTTAAACTTGTAAACTAGCCGGCCACACAATTCAGTTAACTTTGTAGATTAGATAGTTCATACACTTCAATATTATATTAGCACATATCAAGCATATCAGAATAGACTGAAGTTCCATGTTCGAGCCTCACCATCACCGATCAAGAAAAACACAGAGAGGGAGTGTTGCAAACCCAAAACTATTAAATCGAAGCTTTTACACGATACAATACACACACTTCAACAGTAACAATCCTATAGATTGCTACAATTTTAAGTGAATTTATGTCAATACAATTTTTGTCTCTTGGAGATAATGGGACAAAAAGTGGGAGATGTAGATACTGTGGAGGCCGGGGCCTTATTAGTAGTATAAATTAAATGAATTTGCTTATTTTCTTTATGACCAAGAAAGATGAGAACAAAAAGAAACACCTCTATGTGTTCATTTCAGGCGCTGAACATTTGGCATAAATTTGCATTACACCACTTGCCTGAAAAACTGATGCAGTTCAACTTATATGATAGTTTACCTATTGCTAAAAAAATTAATCATATGGGACAAGTCTCCACATTTTAGTGGCGCACAGTTCGAAATCCCTGCGGCTAGTGGATAGTGGGCCTGACCCTATACCCATCTTCACCTAAATACCAAACCTTTATCTACGTAAGGGTTTGATTTACTAATTCTTATTCATATTTGCAATTTATCTAAGATCTTTCACTTATATGAACTGTATCCCTTACTTGAAGCCATCCAATGTTAACATTTTCTTTTTCCTTAAGATTGAATAGGTTGATTACATAATCAACAAATTAAATATAGGAATTTTAAGAATGAGAAGAAAGGCAAACGGAAAACAATAATCTCAAAAGGAAAAAAAGACATCATTTCCATTGCCAGAAAAGGGTCCATTCCATTCCATTTCAAAAAGACATCATTTGGTGGTTTAATAGCAGGTTCTGCATCAGTTGGCTCAAATTAGGTATTTTTCCAGGAGAAGATTGAAATGATTACTCTAAGCCAATCAAAGATTAGGTACATGAATCCTTACGAGAAAATGGGAGGAAAAAGAAAAATGGAACATCAGCAACATCAAGCCAACCAAAATCGTCCACCTATACACTAAACCATCTGATAAGATAAATGGAAAGACTAGTCTCGCATGGGTCACAAAAATAAATTGAACTAGCCACATATGAGTAATACAAATTCATAGCTACACATGTTCTGAATCTCCTCAGTCCTCACAAGCATGCAAATGCATTAAGGGGACAACAACTACTTATGTTTAGCGGCATAGTAATGCAACAACCAAATACAGTTTCGCATTCCGACAAAAAGAGTCACGAGAAATGCAACAAGTTTACTTTAACAGCAGATTAAGGCTCGTACGTGTCAAAAATCAACACAAACATGATAGCAATACACGTCATTTACAGCGCATCCTGACAGCTTTCCGTTAATATCTGAGCTTTTTGAGTAATTTGTTAAAGTTAACAAGGGTGATTTAGTAAAACTGACAAAACTGTTAGAGCCTATAAAATCTCGCTTCCAATTGGCAAACCCTCACAGCCGTTCCTGCCCTATCGCTTTCCCTACACATTGGTCTCTCCGCCTACTTTTCTCCTCTTTCATCTAATTCACGGCTGCAACTGAGTCCTCAGGTGACTTTTTCCTTCCCTCTGATGCATCCTTGCTAATCTCAATTATTCTCATATAAAGAGTTAATCTTTTGTCCTGCCGCCATTGGTCTTTCCTTTATTTTTTGACAACTGACTATGTATGTATCAAGCATTTAAGAATGTCAATCTGATATCTAACTTTGTTTTCATTATTTTCCATTTTAAAATTTGAAGTCAAAAATTTCCACTAATAAGCCCCAGATTTAAGCATGTATATCTCAATTCTAATCTTTGTTTTCAGGATTTTCCCTTTCGGGCTGCAAAGCTAAAGATATACACAACAACTTCAAGGAGTAGCGCCATTAAAGGTCAGCGTTCTTTATATCTGTCTCTTCTTTGTTCTGGGATAGTAATCACAATTCCTTTAACGCTCTCTCTATAAAATTATGTATATGTGAAGACTCTGTTGAAGGATGTTGCTGGTTTTATGTGTGTTTGTCAGGGGTTCTCTTGTTTTGATAATAGACCATATAACAAAATGAATTGCCGGCCTTAGATAACACTTGGCTCTTTTACCTTGGACTGTCCAACATTGTCCCTCTGTTGCCTCAATCTCAAACTGACAGATCTCTCATCTCATACAGATGTGAGAAGTCTAAACCCAAAAAGAGGGAAATTTAATTTAATAGGAGAATCAAGAACAGGAGCACACACATTATTAGTACACACATAATTAGTAATGAAGTGCCTTTTTATGTACAGACATAATAACCGTCTGCATATAAATGTTTAACAGACAATAAAATTCAAATTTTATCTCTGAAAAGGAGTGTCTAGACTTTCAAATGAGCATTCCTTAGTAGGAAGTTGCTCACTCAGCACATGTATATGGAAAATAAGAAAAAATAATCAATAACTTGAAGTAATTCATCTTTTTCTTCGGTAAGTAATTAGTATCCGTTTATATCAAGAGAATTTACTAAGCCAGACCCAAAAAATCTACAAGTTGAACACGTCGTCCTTAGCGCTCCAAAATCCACAAAAAGCCAAATAGATCATGGAATGTGCCATGAATCAAAAGAAAATATCAGTAAGAACTATTTCTGAATCACATATACCAGTAGCGAATCTGGTCAGGTGGCAGAGATATACCTACAAATCAAGTCACTTATGACACGATAAGCATGTTGATAAATTTCGTGCAAAGAACAAAATATAGCACGCGAACGTGGAAAGATAAATGTAAATGCATTTCAATACATAGCAGAGAATATTATTTTTACTTTTCCAATTAGAGTGAAGATCATAATTACACAATATATGTATTCCTCACCTAAAGAACAAATCATAACTATATTATAGAGTGCAAATAAAAAAAAATCACTACCATAAAAAGACTCCTCACTAAAAAATTTATGTAGTTAAGTTTCCAACCATATATAGGAGTAGGTTCTCAGCATGTGCTCATATGTTTCTTAAAGAGGTTAGCTTATGCCTATGTTACTGTATATCTATGCAAGGTACTTACCAATTCAAATATCCTATTAAATACAGCTACAAGAAGGTCCCTGTAAAGCAAAATACTAAAATTACAATTAGGCAGGAGAGTGAATTTCAATGTATTCAAGAAAACACAGAGCACTTCGTCTGAGGATTTTCACCGAATAGAAAAAGACATAAAAGGATTCATCAAATAACCAAAAGGAGGTGCAGATTAACAAAATATGTCTTAGTTTGAACAGAATCAAAAGGATTAATTAACAATTTCACCTCATTAAACTACAAAACTTTTAGGTTGTTGCAAGAAATTAGAATCAGATAATGAGAAAGAGGGGAGAAAAAACCTGGCTACGGCGAGGGTGAGACAAGTAAGAAGCAAATACTTGGGAAACAAGCAACCCATGAAAGAGAGTGTAGAATTTTGTTCGACCAATTTACTCAGTATTCCGAGTTCAAAGACGGTTATTTTACAACCCATTTCTTAAACTGGGCCCATTTCTTCGACGGGTTTAGACTGAAGACCCGAACAAATTACTTCAACTGGCTATTTCCGCAAAATCACTTCGAAGGTCTGTATTTAAAGGTTAGCCACGATTTTAATTTTTTGCAAACCTAACATCCTATTCACTCTCTTAACAAACCAGGCATCAGTGATCAGACCAATATTTTTTTCAATGGCATAGCCCCTTTTTTGTCTATTACAAAGTTAATCATTAGTTTAATAGAATTGCAAATATAACAACCTTTTGTTTTAGTTGGCCGATTACGACCTCTTTCTACTTATTATTTTATCTTTACGGTTTCGAACAAGCAATTTTTGTACTTATAATTTAAATTGGTTGATCATCTTCACAGTCAACCTCCTAATTATCCAATTAAAAGGCGTCAGACATTTTATTTATCTAACTAGCTTTTAAGGTAGTTTAATATTTTTCTTTCCAACATCTCTAGTATAGCATATAAATTAAATTAATATATAAACTTTAAAAAGGAAGAAAAAAGAAAAAAAAAACGAATCAGCAAAATGATACGTTTTTTCTTAAATTAAAAAGTTCCTCAATAATCAGGACATCACCTAATTATTACCATCAATATTTGTTGAGCTTTCCCCAGCTTCAATTTTCTTTTTCTTGTTTGACTTCTTATCATTTGAAGGGATCTCATCATCATTAGACATTCTATTTTCTGGATTCTCATTATACTCTTTAATTATAACCTCTTCCTTTACATCTTCAATATCATCATTATTGTCTTTTTCATCAAACTCCTCTTTTTAATTTCCCAATGGCATCCTCCAGCTCTCTATTAACCTTAGGATTTTGCAAAAACTCAGATATGTCAAGTGGGCAAGCTGGGCATTTCATTAAATTCTTCTTTGTCCGAAGCTTTCGCCCATTTTGGCATTCCCTTTCCTTTATAAATGCTTGTCCTTTAAATGCTTTCAAGGCAACCTTTGCAAAAGTTATGAGCGCAAGGAGTTGTCACAGGGAGAGTTAACACATTCTTGCAAAGTAGACAGCTGAACCCTGCATGCGTCAAATTACAAATTAATTAATCTTACTTGCATATATAAGATGTATCCAAGAAATTGAAGGGAAATTAAGGGTGAGATATATACTATATATAGTACTATACTAGTATTGGTTTTGCTTAACCTTTTAAAAGTGTCTTGTTAATAGATGTTTTCTGAGCTTTCTTTGGTGTCTTCCTTGCTCTCTTCCCATCTTAGAGCTTCCTTCAATTACTCTTTGTTGGCTGGGCGGTGGTGGCTTCTTCCACTTCCACCTACCTTCTTCCTCCTGTCCAGACATGATTTTTTTTTTAAAAAAAAATTCAAATAAAATTTTAACGAAAAAATAATCTGCTTACTTTTTAGGTTATAATTAATCCGATTGTTTTATGAACAGTTACGTATAATTATCTTTACATGACTTGATATTAAAAAAAGTCTTTCACATTGTCAGCATATACAAATTAAACTCCTTGAATAGTTGTAGTGTGTACTATATATATAGATACCCGAAAATTTTCTAAGAGTTAAGTTAATTTGTGATGGAGAACTGAAACAAATTAAAATATTGCATGCTAATTAATTAAAGTACCCAAAAAGTTTACTATAAGCAAAAGAATATCATACATCATAATCCCATAAAGGACTGCGGGTCCTCTCAAAAATGTCAAGTGCCTCTTCAAGTTCAGGAATTTCTGGCAAGGGCCGAGGCCTATCCCCAAGCTCATCACTGCATAAGAATATAATTAATCTGCAGTTAAGAATTAAACAGTAGTAGAGTAATCAATTGGGAAAGTAAGAAAACATGTACAAACCTCGTCCACGGGGCAGGTTCATTGTCACATCTCACAAATAAGTACCTACACATCTTGTACCCCTGATGATACAAATACATATGATGTCTCAAATTCAGTCAGCTGAATTAGAGTAATTAATTTTAACAAATAAATGGAATCTTATAAAAGAAATATTTTTACCTGTTTTCCCATTTTCCTCCAACACTTCTCTATCCTGTACACACCATTATAACGAAGACCATCCTGTGGAGCATAGGATGAACGCTTTTCTTTGTGGGATCTGACCACAAAAAATATGTATGAGTCAACTTTAATAAAAAAAAAATATAACATTAATTAATTGTTACTTCAGTTTTAATCGTGGTATTTAAACAATAACTACAAGGGAGTCACTTGCTTAATGAAAAAAAAAAATATTCATCATCAAATTCTATGATATATTACCTAACAACACGAACTGGATAACCTTCTTGGCAGCTGACTCGCAAAGCTTCGTTGGAATTGGTGAATGTTTGATCAAATGATTGATCCTTAGTCGTTCGTTTGTTGCCACTTAGATCCCTTCCCCCACTGCATATACATTGCAATAAGAGAAGGAAGAGTCTTAATTAAGTTCTTGTAACATTAGAAAGAGTCACAGCAAATTAGATCGAAGAGGGAGTATTCGAGATAAGCAAAGTCTCAATTGCTTAGATTGTTATTCCCTCCTATAGCTTAAGGCGTCAGTTAGGAAGAGTTACAATATAATAAAGTTTTAAGTTAAATACATCGTCAGGAATTTGCAAGGAGAATTATAAATCATACCTCAAGTCTAAAATACTATCTTCAATTAAACCAGAAATGTTGAAAGCTCATATATAGAGATAATTAACACATACCTTCCAGTGTAGAGAAACCATTCTCCATGGTCCTCGTCATCTTCGTATCCACCTGAGAGCACCACAGATTGCGCACCATATTTTGCTTGTCCAGCAATTCCGGCCACATGGGGCCAGTGCACACCCCATTGCCTGCAATTCAAGCGATGTGTCCACGACTCCCCTACTAAAACACCTTGATTTCTCTCCGGATCATTCTCGGCCAATATTGTGCCAAAATGATCCGAAGGGACGGTCACAAATATTCTCCCGCTTGATGCATTAGCCATTCCAGCCCTTTTAGCTGCCCCTTCCCTAATAAATGGGTTATCAGGACGGACTTCCTCGCTCACCTGAAGAAATATATTCAAAATTTAAATTTAATGGGTCAACCTTAAAAGGTTCCTAACACTTCATTATTATTTTATAGTAGTACTATTTAAAATTAATTTTAGCTATTTTTCATATAGATATTTTTGTTGTATGTCAAAATATTAGTTTCCGTTGAACTTATAGACAATATATATAACTCCATTCATCATATCTGCTCACCTGATGATAGGCTGGTTGAGACCTTCTGGGGGCATTATTCGTTCTCGATTCCTTCGCCATTCTTATGGCAGTCACTAATGCCGAGTTTATACAAGGCTGATCAATCATTTGGCGACTAATTTGAGAACGGCACCTGACACATTTATCTTTACCTTGACCAATCCATTTCTTAAAGCACTTTAAGCAGAAGTTATGGCCACAGGATGACTGAAAAAATAGGGAAAAAAAATTAACTATTATGACATAGAAGCTTCAGTACTATATAACAGAAACCCTGAAATGATTATAGACGTGTGCATCTGTATATTCTTCTCATGCATACATAGAACCAGCCGCCTAGGTACATGCGGTGAAGGGGTTTAATTAATTGAATCTCTTTCATCGAAAAATTATATTTTGCAAATAAAAATACATATCGATTAACTTTACATAAGGGAAGTTTCTAGTGAAACGGCAAAGGTGGTCAAATTTAAAAATAATTTTAGATTACACAGATTTAAATCCTAAGTATGACATTCTTGCATTTTTTTAATACCCTTGATAGGATTTACCACCTTGGAACTGCATAGAACACATATCAAAATAGTTATATGAGATCTGGAAATGGAAACCTATATATCTAGAAAGGATGGAAGAAAGTAGACATGAGAAGTTAAGGAATCATTTACTAAAAGGTGATTTTAGATATACCGTTACGGGCCTATCTAGAAGCATATAACAAAAGGGACATTTGATGCTTTCATCAAGCACAGCCAACACATCTTTTTCTTCATTCTCATCTTCTTCATTTTCGTTATTCTGATGTTGTTTTCCACTGACTATCTCTTGTCTCCTTTTCGCCTTCTCTTCTTCCGTCATCGACGTATTCGCCTCGATCTCCCGAATCTTCGCCACTAGTTCTCCGCCGGCGGAAGCAGGCGGCGGCGCAGCCGCCCCTGTTAGACCTGTCCCGGCACAATCAGGACACTCAAAGTTAACGACGAACGATAACGTAACAGGTGGATTTTCCAGGCAATCCATGTGCCAGGGCGTTACACACGTAACGCAGGTGACTCTCTTCTCCTGTGACGGCGTTTCTTTACATAGCATGCAAACGCCTTCGCCGTCAATCGGGAGTTGATTGATGGACGCCATTGGAGTAGCTAGGTTAACTGAAGATAGAAATGAAAAGGAGATAGTGATAAGTGTGAAGAAATCACAAAAACGTAAGAAGATTTTAGGTAGAAGAAGTGTTAAGATTAGCTCTATTTATAGTGGTGGGACAGGTTTTGGAGCAAAGAAAAATTTGAAATGAAGTCCACTATATCTACACTAGATTACCTTAGAAACCATTGCTGAAAACGTAAAGTATATTTAGAGGAGACTTAGTTTGACTATTTTTCAAATTCTACCTAGACGCTACCTTCCTCAAACCCACTAAGTGAGATTATACTGAGTTGTTGTTGTTGTTTTAATTTGACTATTTTTCAACTAAACGGATGGATGAGATTGATTTTTAGTACTAGGTGTAGAAGATTTTGTCGTTGTTCCTGATGATATTTTAATTTACCGTAATTTGACTTTGATTGTAAATTAGATTCTTGTAATATTTCTGTTTGTCTTTTAGGAAGAAATAATTTTGGAATAATCAAAGTATTTTCAACAGAAGGTATGCGTGAGGGACATGTACTCCTCTACCCTCAAGTCCACTTTCACTGCTAGTAAGAATACTAGCAACACTTGGGGAAAAAATATCATGCAATTGGTTCTTATGGAAAAAATTTAAAAACATACAGATTTTTAAATAAATTATATGTCAGGTATTATGAAAATTTGTGTATTTGTAGGTGGTTTATCAAATGTACAGTCAAACAGCCAAGTAAAGATTCATTTGATATACGAGTTTAGTAACATAATAATCTATTTTTTTGGGGGTAAAACATTTAAATAAGATGTAGCAAATTTTAGAACGAGAAGTTCGACAGCACGTTTAATATCTTTAATTAAACTGGGAAAATGATGAATTTTCTCTATATACAATAGAACTAACTACAAATACAATTGATGAGTAGATCTTTAAAAATTGGTATTATCACTTTCAGGGTGCGCTAGAAACTATTTACGTTCAGTAGCCAAAAAAATATATAAAATTTGTATAATTTTTATATATAACATACAAAATGTGTGTGCATATATATATATATACACACACACATATTTTTTAGGCTATTATTTTGAGAGCAGCTATATAGTATCATTCCTTTTAAAAACTTGGATGCTTATTAGTTATGTCCATAATCCCTACATTAATTGAGTTAATCTTAATAGGAATCTATTCTAGATTTTGAGATATTGAATTAGTAAATGATAAGCTTAGACAGGGTTAAAAGGATTAACTCGTCTTATATATACTCGTAATAGAAATTATAGAAAAATAAATCTGTAAATTCTAAAAAAATTCCATATCCTATATATTGCAATTATGTCAATTAGTTTTGCTATTATTCACACTAGCAGGACAACACTAATGTATTAGCCTTGAAGGTCGATCGATGGACAATTCCCTTAGACGGCTTTTTTGTTGAAAAACTTTGACTTCTAGAAATTATCTATTGTTAGAGGACAAAAAGAGAAATTACAATAATCTAATTTGCAATAAAAACAAGAATCAGATTACTGTATATATCATTCAGGAATAACAAGAAAATCTGCTATTTTTCCTAGTACATTAGGAATCAATCTAATCCGTACGTCCATTTGGTCGAGACGTGGTCAAACATAGTCTCCCCTAATTAAATTTACTTTACATTTTCAGCCAATGATTTCTAACTTGCTTCAATATAATACCATCAAATTTTTTATTTCCTCCAAATCCAGTCTTGCCACTATATATAGAGGTAACCTTAACACTCTTTCTACCTAAAATTTTCAAGCTTCTTTGTGATTTCTACACATCATATCACCATCTCCTTGTTCGTATATCTTTGCTATTTCTAATTAACCTACCTACTCCAATGGTGTTCATCGACCAGCTCCCAATATAATTGACGCTCAAGGCATTCCTTTGCATTAATTATGCAAGGAAATGCCAGCACAGAAGACAGACACATCTCCTTGTTCACATGTGTCATGCCCTGACACATGGATTAATTATGTCAGTTGTGACGGGTAATCAAGTGTCATCGCATAAAATACAGTCATAATGATTACTGCAAAACTGACTTCAGTTTTCAAAAGAGAATTGAAACGGTCAGTTTATATAATTTAAATCCTATCGAAAAATTAAAATTATTGAGATTGTCGTGTATGTTACTCATTTACCTACGGAAGAAGATAAAGGGAATGTCATGGCTAATGCATCAGTTAAGGGTTAATCTTTGTCGTCATTAGGAGACATTATTTTGGTCTATTATATACCAACAAATTAAGATATATAGAAAGAGAGATCATTTTGGTCACACATTGGTTGAAGGGTACATTGGCCCTGTGTTGCCGGGGATTGCTGGACAGGCATACTTAGATATGTTGATGCACAATTTATATCATATGGTGTTCTCAGGATGTTATGAGGATGACGGCATCCATATAGATTGGAGCTCTATATAGTATACATGTATATTATGAATCTCCTCGATGTTCTGATGTTCTGTGGTTTAGTTCTAGTATTTCAGACTCGAGGCATATACATAAAAATCAAGATATTAATAAACAATAAATAATTCTCCAAATTTGTAATATGAAGTGCTCCTCCTAATTCTGTTTGCTTCTTTCTTCTTATATTGCACTTATATGCATTGTGGCGAAAAATCTAAGCTGCAACGAAAAAAAAAGGTGTAAAATCAGTCATTTGTTCAAACATTCAGGAATTGCAACTGAACTTTGCGAGCCAGCTACCAAAAAGACTAAACGTTGGTCCTTATTCGTTGCAAAAGCTATTTTCGTTAGTTGTCCTGCCATCACTTCTCTTTTCTCCCATTTTTTTTGGAATAGAAATATAAAGGGAGAAAAGAATATTGAAGGAACGATAAGTGGTAATTGGCTTATTTAATTTTATTCTTATGAATATAACGATATTAATTGAAAAAAAATTGTTGGGAGAAGATAAAATTATAAATATAAAGCTTATTTAT